TTGGAGATCGGTCTGTGGATCGAGATTCCTCAGAATGTCAGGTTTCCACGAGGCGAGAAAAAAATACCCTATACGTGAGCCTTGTAGCAACTTAGATAAGTTTCCTCCTATTTCCTTCGAGCACTCTCCCTCCTCCTCCCACTGCCTGCACTCATCTCTACGAGTGAATTGCGGCTTTAGGTAGGGACTGCGTACTTCATCGATGAGGCCGTGCTGAGGCCATTCTGAGGCCGCGCGCTGAGGCCACACTAAGATTCCTCAGAAGGAGATCCGCTCCCGTGTGTCGCAACGTGCGTAGAAACGGTTTTCGCAACCGAATACGAATATATTAATTTCCATTGGGCTTACACGTGTCCAACAACCTGTCCTTCTCTGTCACTTTTCGTAATAGGTCTCAGTTGATGTTCCAGCAGTCTTTCTCGTCGTAATTAATTAATAACATACTTGGGATCTTTCGACAATCGACATTGTTCTTCTATCAGTGATCATTTGCTTATTTCTACAGAATAATTTGTCGATTCTGAAACAGTGGTTTGAAACGACAGGAAATGCAATAAATAAAAAATGATTACCCAATGCTGTTTGCCTATAAGAACCCGCCAGTCATTTATTGTCATTTACTGCAGCGGTTTGTTGAAAATATTCACCACCTGTTATATCGATATTTTTTATTACCATTTTACTACCTCGTTGTTATCTTGTTATAAAATTAGCCGGGAGTCCAAGAAATAACTTGTAGAATTCCTTCGTTTTACAGTTCAATTTCTCACTTGCTGAACGGGAAGGCAACTTTATCCGGCGTCATCTAGTTCCATGCACCGCGCTCGACAGCCCGCCATAATTATTTCTTCCCGCTTATCTCGATGTGCACGCGCCCTTCGCTTTTGTCTCTACGTTTCTCACGGTTGTGGTTGTTCGATTTCGTGCTTCCTCCTTTGTTCCCCCCGAACTGTCTTCTTTTCTGTTTATTTCGCTCGCTCAAGCTTACGCCGCCATTTTTTAACCGCTCCGCGCGCTTATCCTCTGTCCTTGTTTAATCAAAACGTTTGTACCCATTGGAGGAAAGGGGAAAGAACGATGGCAACGATCGATGAGGCATTTGCGGTTTTCCGCGTAATCTCGGTGTTTTCAGAAAGAAAAAAATATCAATAGGAAGAATAACACGTACCATTGGCACGCTCTGTAATTCACCGTACCGGTTCTTGGTTAATTCTTGTTATTATATCACCTTTCGCGATGGACTCAGAGGCAAAGGTTAACATATTCCTCCACGGTGATGATAATGCAAAAAATGAACGTTCTACGACGGGTTCGTTCAGGTCATCGGAATTTATGCTCTTAGTTTATGATCGCATAATCTATGGCTATAAATTAGCGGATCTGAATAAATTTCTGGATATTGGCCGACTCAAGGTTATGTTTATCCATCGGATATTGCATGATAAAGTTTTTTCTTTTAGATCGTCATGGTGTTTATGAAATATTCAGTCGTTTTTCTTAGCAAAAACATGTTAAAAAGTTTCACCCAAAAAATTAACAAATACTAAACTGAAACGTTTTCTAGACACATTATGTCTAGAAAAATTTGTTATACCAGCTCTGATAGTTGTCAATTTATGCGGAATTCTACACGGTCATTTATTCGATATTAACCAATCAGGTAGTCGAGGAACAAGTTTACACGAGCTTCAAAAACTGGCCTTGACTTCGCACGCAGTTACACGCGGGCCTGTTCCCATAACGGGCACTAACTTTCAACGTAGTCTCTACACGTTATAGTGTAAAACAATCGACACAAAAAAATGCGTCTCTAAAACGTCCTTCCTCGTTTCTAAAAGTGAAACGTTTCAGAGCTGAACGAACGAGCTTAAGAAAAATTCCTCTTCTTTCTTTCAGATTACTGGCCTCGCCGAGGCGGAAGGAGTTAATCAACGAGGGGTGCCCATGCCGAGCGTCAGGAAAAATCAGCTGGAGGGTCTTAGGAGTGCGAGAGGAAAATTCACAGAGGGATCAGCCGCGTGAAATTCAACGAAATAGTCGCTGTGAGCGTTAAAACGCATTCTAGCCTGAAAATGCCATCGAAAACGTGTTCTATGATTATGTCGGGACTGATCCTGCTGGTGTTCGCGGTGGTATCGTTCAGGGAAGTGCAAGGACACGTTGCCTTGACTTTTCCGCGTGCGAGGAAGTACGACTTAGACTTCCTGGACAACGCCAGAACACCTGGCCCTTGTGGAATGCCCCGTGGTGAGTGTTTTACTTTCTAACGTTATTCTAAGTTGAATAAAAGTGCCTGAAAGTGAACGATTGTGTCATTTATTATGTTAAACTTTGAGTGGGAGGTTTATACTAAAGTTACCTGGTGCAATTTGTGGTGGTACTTGAGTAATGAGTGTCATGTGAAGGTGGAGGCTGATATAGAATATAGTATGTGCATTGGTTTCCTTTCTTGGAATTGTGGTGCTGCAATAAACCTCGACCTCCTTGCTGTTAGGCCATTGTGGGACTAATTAGCTACTAATAATTATTTACAAAATAGGATAGTGTGTAATATTTTGATGAGTACAGTCAGTCCAGAATTATACTTAACCATTTAAAGTCCTAGAATATAGCCACGTGCCCTGCTTTTTAAATACACCTGAAACTAACCTAACCGCATGTCAAGATACGAGATAAAGAAGTGACCTTAGTGTATCGAAAGTGATTATTATGCTAACAATATAATCGCCAGGTTATGACACGAATTACCACATGACTCAGTAGGCCACGCATGCATTGACGTATTAACACAACGTATCAAAGATCTCAATCAACTCCTTCATCACGTTACAATCTTTTTAACCATTCTCATCTCGTTCTAACAACGTCCAAAAGCGTCAGACAAATGCGAAAAAAAAAGAAACACTGTATCATCGAAACCAGCTAATGTCCCTTCGCGAACTGGACCTGCTCTTCGTAACCGACGGACCGAAAAGAAGCGTGTCCGCGTCTCTGCGCGTAGAAAGAGCGAAGCTGGCGAAACCTGAAATGGCGCATCGTGCCGCGGCGCAAAAGAACAACGACGATTCCCGTTCGATAATGTTACCGACGGAGCAGGTTCTTCGGATGCTGTGGCCCACCTATGCGTCACACGATCCCACGGGCCAGAAGCTAGCGTGCGTGGAATTTTCGCGGTCATACCAAGGAGTATCACGTTTTGTTGTTGTTGATCGATTGTATAGAACACTGAGAGGTGTAGTGGCGGGGGATGAGAAGAAGGGGCGAGAGGGTTCTATGGGAAAACGACATTACACGAAGATATGTCCCGGTGGGGATAGCCCGCTAGTCTGATTCGAAGCGACTTTCACCGACTCGCACGAAGGGAACTCGAACCTCGGCTGCCCGGCCATTACCTTCCACGTCTTGCCTCTACTCTGCAGCTGCACGTACACGTACCTTTTTTTTTTCTTTCCGCTTCGGGCTCTCTCGCATAGTCGCGGGGAATACGTGAACTTTAGATGTACGCGTGCATCGTCGCTTTTATTGTAGAAGGACGGTGGCAGAAAAAGGATATATTGCAAGTTAAAACATTTACCAACAGCTTTAAGTATTTTATTGGAATTAGATACGAATATGAAGTCTAAAAGTTAATTGCATTATTGCGAAAATTGAAAGTATCAATCATAATGCTTTCAATTCGTTAGCCAACTACCAATACGCCATCTCTTAATTTTTCTATACACCAGAAGTCAATCCGTACATTACTCACGAAGTACAATATGTAACCACTACAGTACCATCGAATACGTAAACCGCTCCCGCGTACGTTACAATGAAAAGAAATCAACACTTCTCGACACATCCCACCTGTATTGCTTGAAGCCAGAAGTAGAAACACATGCACGCATGCGCCAGACTCATGACGACCGGTGTCTCGGATTCTGTCACGTGCAGTAATTCTTTTACGGCTCTTCGAATCAAAGATGTTACCGTGTCGATGTCGCCCCGGCGCGTTCTGCTATAATTTAATCGACAGCTCGACCGCTCGTTCCGTGCAATGGGAACGCGAGCTTTCTTTTCAGGGGGACTGGGAGGGGAAAAAAGGCGGTATATATTCCATAAAAGGCAGGATCGGTTGCGGAACGCGAGCTGTTCTTCGGCCGCTTCCGGAAATTAATTGTACACCGCGCCACTCTCGATTATTTCCGGAACCTACGGTCTCGATGCAATATACACCGTCGTAGATCTATATCTTGGCCCCCAAGTGAATCGAGGATGTGAAACTTCGCGTTGGAATTCGTTTTCATAACGACTGATACGATTTCGCGATACAAATGCGTATCCGTCTTGATGCGCGATTCTTGTTTGCGCAGGTACGTTTTTCTGTAATTAATTTCCGCGATCTATTAACGTTTGACGGAATGATTATCATGTTATGAAATGTAATGGATTTGTCGATGGCACATATATGTAAGAAACGTAATTGAACGAATAGCTACAGATTTGAAAAATGTTTCGAATAGTTTCTTATTTATCTTTCATGGAAGGGAAAGGACATATCCAAACTGCACTCGACATATCCAAACATATTATACAATTCCTCGTATTGCTTAATGTATGAAAGAGGGAAAAAGTAGACATTACAAATAAAGATACGGTTTTACCGTTTCTTTTTCCATTCGATCCGATCTTCATTTTTAAAAAACGAGCGTAGATGAGAGTATCCGCGGCCAAGACTTAGCTGAACTTGCATTTATGCATGTTTCCGGTGATTGTCATAAATTATCGTGTCTCGTTACCGTAATGAATATTAACATTTTCATTGTTCGTAAATTCCCTCGTCTAAATCGATGAGCCTGAGAAATTACGAGTTTCCGTTTCTCGAAGTAATTTAACGCGCGGCGAACGATCGTGAAAATTTGTATAGAATGGTGGCGCGCGCACGCTCGCAACGTTGCATAATATACGTGGCTTTATGTTGCAGGCGATATTAAGACTACCTTACTGTCTGGGAGTAACTTCAACGTCACGTGGCATCTGGCTTATCCTCATCGAGTAAGTAAATATTTTTCATCCTGTATGAACATACCTAATTAAATACAGAAACGAAAGGGATCTAAGCATTAACCGTTGCTTCGTAATCTCGTTAATTCTCTCGTTCACTTTTTTCGCGTTGCAGCAGGACTTTTACTCGGGCGATAATTGAATTCCATTGAATTTCGTTAGCCAATGGTAAAAAAAGAAAGCTGCAGAACCATTGCAGCGAGACCGGTCGGTAATTTCTGTGTAGACGTGCTTTTTAGCTAAACACGTATTAACATCTCTCGAGACTCGAACTGCGCATGCGCGACGTTGCAGAAAAAAGCTTAGGAAATGTATGCAGTTGTTTAAGAGGAAAAAACTATTCCAACGGTTATGTGAGAGGTGAATATAAAATCGTGCCTAGTATTTTATTGTATTTCACGTTATACTTGGACTTTCTCCGATATGGAATTTTTCGCATACATGTCTTCGACACGATGCGAGTCCAACTTCTTATTGTTTATACAGTGTGATACAAAAAAAGGGTTCATAACTGGAGCTATTGTTCACTGATCACGAAGATGTGTAATTAACATTTCTCTGGTGACGCGTCGTTTCATAATAAGATAATGATATGTTATGATAAGTGTGTAGAGTGGAAAGACAGATAATCCATTGTTTCCATACAATACAATAGCTCACGAAGCGAGAAAGTCACTTGCTTGAACTGAAACAAGAAAGTGTTTATAACTTTGAAAATATTAATTTTTCGACCCATTGTTCATTAGGACTTTTTTTCATCATTTGACGAATACTAATCTTGCCATAGAAGTTATGAACCCTTTATTTTTATCACCCTGTATATGTTGATTGCACGGGTTTTGCTTACATGTACGCAACGTGCGTTACGATTCCATTACACCTGTTATTACTTAACTCATTACAGCAGTCCTTCATCGCCAGTGATTCATTAACGATACCCGGTGCCAATTAGCACTCAATATTGTAGTTACTTAACCCATACACTTTAATCTGCAGATGTGATCATGACTCATCTTGTGGGAAACGCATGAAAAGAATTATAAAATACCTTAACAACTTCTTTAACTGTCGAGAGAGAATTCCTGATGCATTAACTATAGAGAGAAATCAAAGATGAAATACACGCGGATCAGGGGTGGGGGAAAAGTTCCGGGAAACGTGTGATGAGTGAAAAAACCGGTCACCCATCCATCCCATGATACACGATCGATGGTAGCTTAACCTCACTAATCACTTAAACATTCACATCCGTATTCCATCATCACTCATAATACAAAACTTTTCCTATTTCTAACCTATACGTACTCCAAGTGTAAATGCTATATTAAAGATAAATCCATCTGTGTAACTTTTCTCAATTTCGATTACGAAAAGTCACGGTAGCAGACGAGAAGCTTAAGGCACGTTCGTAACACCGTGCCACAATGGCAGGCCAGCATAGCCAGAAATTCATATTCTTCACGACGCGTCGCGCAGAGTACCTAAGTCATCGTGAAAGACATCACGAATTTGTCCGCACGTGGTCTATACGAAAGGGAAAGAAAAGAACAGAGGCTGAGGCCGGCCTACGCTTGCACACGTCGTCGCTCAAGGTGACACCCGTTGAATAATTCAGAAGCGAAGCTCGGCATGCGTTCCCGGTGCTTCGTGTACCTTACGTAGATAGGTAGGTCGGAGGAAAGAAGGTGGTAAGGGACATAAGTCGCTTTGCATGTAGACGCGTACATGAGAGAGCAGCTTGTGCTCCGTGGAACACATCGGTATGTCGGGTACCGTAACTCGGCTGTCGCCAATGACTCGGATCGAAGCCAAAGCTCTCGGATCCGTTGCTGGAAACGCAGTTGAGCCGTGAACGGATGGCTGCAGGATAAGTAAAACTCTGTATTATAACCAGCAACTAAGTAAATTCAGGAAAAAGAAAGAAAAATTTACGCAGACTTTTTTTCTTTTCATTTTATTGTATGTATATGATACAATCTTGAGTTGTTGCTAGAATCGTAATAATTATTAATTTGTTATTATTAAATTGAAGTGCCATACCATTAGTTGTTTGTACTTAATAAAATGTGGTTAATTATAGATTATGGAAACTGGTTTTAAGTTTTTTCAATCTTTTTAAAAGCATGAATAAATAGTTTAAGGTTAAATTTTCGAAGTCTACGCCAATGCGCTCTATTTGCTGCAATATGTTTGTATGATAGAATAACATGTTTTATGGAATGTAAATGTACTGGTTCTATACTCGAACAGCTCTAAATTAAAGTAACTTTCAAAATCTGTTTACGATGCGAAGTGAACGTAACTTCAAACTTATCTTCAATTGTAAACTTGATTTCGTATCGTATCGTATAGATTCTCTCTGAACCGTAACAGACTTCATACCAATCTATAATACACGTATTTCGTACACGATCTTCGATATGGTTTCTTTTCCTCAGCGACTGGTTTTAAACAGCTTGACCGTAAAGCTAGATGACTCGCAAATTCTGCACACTAAAATATCTGTGGCACGAGAAAAATTCGACAATAACGCTAGAACCGCTGCAGGTGTGTGCCGTGCGAAGCAGTACCACTTCGCGAGACCGCCTCTTCCCTTTCTCCTTCTCCTTTCGAGTGGCGGCGTAATCGTTGTGCACTGTTGGAAAACATTTCAAACTCTCTCGCGTGAATTTTCGAGGGGACTTTTATTAAAAGTGACGAGCGTCTCCGGTGAATGGATCCCGTTCTGTCAGCCAACGCGTTCCTGTCACTATATTTTATAATATTCCTCCATGATACGTCTTTAACACCTTAGAAAATAATAATAATACCTCAAAAATAAAAAAATAAAAAATTCGTTATGTTCCACGAAAAAAAGACTTATGTGGTTTCCGATCGATGTCGATAAAACGTTATCGACAGAGTTTACAAGTTATGATGACGCGTGGAATGCGGTTAATAATTGGAAAACACGGCACGTAGAAGGAAACGCAATGTTGTCTCTCGACTACGAATTAACTAATAACGGTTCTTTACCTCGGATCTTTCCACAGAGGTGTCGGATTGACATCGACAATCATTAAATTAACGCTCGTGTCATTACGTTGTTACCGGTTGCGAGACGTTGATCTCCCGCGGCGACATCTCTCTCTTCCTATTTCCAATTCGGTGGACGTTTCATAAATATGGTGTTTGTTTCGTAACGGCGGAATCGCGCGAGTCGTACCGACAAAGCGTTAACCAAAGTTGTCTACAATTTATTTCTCTCTCTCGCTTTTTTGTTTTTTTTTTTTTTAGCGTGACCGATCGATCGGAAGGCCAGTTTCTATGTCACGGATCTGCGATAAGCTCGTTCGATACCGCTGCCCGTGCGCGCGATCGATGTCTCAACGTCCTCTTGACCGTTTCTCGCTTCCGATGTGAGCGTAGCGAAAGAAACCGCATGAAAGTTCACTCATTGGAACCAAAACGATTCCGTTTGTGACTTACTTGCAGTTGCAAACGTAACGAGATTAATTCGACTTCGTTAAATGTGTGTAATGCGAATTTGTATTCTGCGGTTTCATTATCGGCCATTTTTTATGACTGATACTTCGAACATTTTGCGATTTTACTGCTTCGAAGATTTGCCGTTAGGCGGGTTAAAAATTCATAATTTAATTAATATTCCATACGTCCTTCTTTTTTAATTTCGTTTTAACCTCGTATGTTTAGGGTGGATTTCGATTGCAAATATTGGACGCTCTTGACAGGCCGTTGGTTGACTTAACCCCTGTGACTAAGAACAGCGAGTTCGTAGAAGATGACGCTACGTGAGTGAAAACAAATGTTGGTCTTTTTCTTTTCGTTTTAGTCACTTTTTTTTAATGTTCAAAAAATGAATCATTGATTTTCAGTGCGCAAGGTTATGCTGTGCAATTACCTCAAAATTTCACGTGTACAGACTGCACGATTCGGCTTCTTCGAGAAGCCGAGGAATGGGGCGCGAGTTATAGATTCTGGTCTTGTGCCGATATCGATGTAAGTATTTAATGTTAAAATTAACAATGAACAAAATTAAACGAATCTATTAGAATAATAATATTCAATAAAATACAATTTCTTTTGTAATGATTCATGCATTTTGAAACAGTCTATAGCGTCCTATATCGCACTTCCTGATACTTCATAATTTATATCCGTTAGATCATCGATAGAAAGGCATACAGAGAGGATTGCAGCGGTCACGGCCGTTATCTGCTGGGTCGGTGTAGATGCGATCGACTGTATCACGGCACAAGGTGCGAATTTAAGGAGGAATGCCTGGACGACTCAGACTGCGGTATTCAGGGCACGTGCATTGACAATGGCGGCACGACCGCACCCATCAAGCACTGCTACTGCAACATCGGTTGGTTCGGGCCGGGTTGTGCGAAGAGTAAGTTTCACCGAACCACGATTTGATGCTTCCTCTAGAAACCAACCAAATTGGAACAATTTTCTTACACCATACTTTCCAAGTCCTTTATGTGTCTTCCAGCTTTAGGTCATACTGCTTAATACAGTATGTAACAAGAGATCTTCCTGTGACTCTGAGTTTTTGCAATCTGAGTCAACTTTTGTTACATACTTATCTAACCTTGAAGCATAAGAAATAAAATAAATTTCAGACAAAAGATGTAATATTTTTTATTAATTATTTTCAGGATCCCCAATTAAAACTATTGACGTAGAATTAGACGCCTACAGTATGAGGAAATTCTCAGACAATTTCACATTCTTTTGGCGTATATTGAAAGAGAGCAAAGAACTCGAGGGCATTATGGTGGTAAATAGTACAACCTGGGTCGGAATTGGCTGGAGACCAAGCGACCTGACTCCACTCTGTCGCTCCTTCCCTGAGATTCAAGAACGTCCAAAGGATGAACCGCTTCCTCAGCCAGAACCAAAAGCGGAACCAGAACCAGAGTCTGAACCAAAAGCTGAACCCAAACCTGAACCCAAACTTGGACCGAAACCTGAACCTGAACCCGAATTTGGAACTGAAAGATCCGGTACTAAGAGAAGATCGGCTAAAGCTCATGATCTTGCTTCATTAGAGTTGACTCCTCCACCAGATGTAGATGTCACTGTACAAACTAGTGTGACTTATCGCGTCAGCACAAAGCAAGGTGCAAATTTTATTAGTATACAGGGCGTCTCACTTATGATGAACATCTAAATTATTTCGGTAAGAAAACATGACTAAAGTAGTTTATGATTAAAAAAAAGGTCCCTCCAAGGTCATCTTTAAGGTCATTCCAAAGTTATCGACATTTTTTTGCATATTAACATGCTTACTTCTCCCTTGTTTCATTATTTTTACATTGGTCAAAATCATTTCAAGGTAACGGCGTCATAGGTCGGTGAACTCGTCTTGAAGTTGGTTGTAATGTAGCATTATAGAAAACAAATGTTAGTATACAAGAATATGTCAATAACTTTGGATTGACCTTCAAGATGATCTTGAGGATTTTTGTTTTATCATCGCCAAATGAACGTTCTCAAATTGTAAACTCTTCTTAATCATTATTTCTAACTTTGAAAAACAGCAGAAATAATTTAGATGTCCATTATAAATGAGACAGCCTGTATATTTTGACTTCTTAAGATTACATGTATGTAATATTAAATGGTGTATTTTATGTTTACATAGGACGTAAGAAGAGGTCACCAGAATCCACAGGAACTTCTGTAAATGGTATGTATTGACATTTAACCCAGGTACAGATAAGAGACCCCACGCTTCCCGTATTGACATAGTAGCAACGTGTAGTGTGCTTCCCAAAGAGTAGTTGAATATTTGGCGTCCCTCCGTTTATTTGAGACCCTACGCACGAGGTGGTGGTCCGTAAGAAACAAGCAGTAGGTAGTTGGCACGACGATCGATGCTTTGTTGCACAGGGGAACCCGTCGCCGAGCCGAGCACTATCGACAGCACCAACACCACGCCTGAACCAGAACCCAAATCCGAACCTGAACCTACTTCAGAACCAGAGCCCAAATCTGAACCTGAATCAAGCACAGAACCAGAACCTAAATCTGAACCTGAACCCAGTTCAATACCAGAACCCAAATCTGAACCTGAACCCAGTTCAATACCAGAACCCAAATCTGAACCTGAACCAGTATCCAATGCGGAAGCCATCTTGGCCTCTAAACCAAAGCCAAAATCCCATCCTGAACCAAGGTCCAGTGCAGAGCCAAAGTCTGAACCTGAACCCAAGTCTGAACCAGAACCTAGTTCAGAGCCTGAACCCAAGTCTGAACCGGAACCCAGTTCAGAACCGGAACCTAAGTCTGAGTCAGAACCTAGTTCAGAGCCGGAGCCGAAATCTAAACCAGAACCTAGTTCAGAACCGGAACCCAGTTCCGAGCCAGAGCCAAAGTCAGAGCCGGAGCCAAAGTCTAAGCCAACCGTGGAACCAGAGCCAATTTCAGGCCTTAAGTCGAGCGCAACAAAAGGTAACAGAAGCTGATGAGGCAATTCGACGCTTGTTTTTCCCTTGATTATTACTGCACGGGCTTTTGATTTGTACGGAGTTAATATTGGTCAGAGTGATTCACACCTATGCATATTCTTGAGTTTGAATTAATGCTGTTCAAGATTATTTTGAAACACTGCACATTTTAGATGACTCCATTAATTTAATTGTATTTTATCATTGACAAAAATTAATAGTGAAAATAACGAAGATACTTTGAATACTTTTATAAGGGTGTGAAAACTTTGACAATTTAGTCAAAAAGAATTTTGCTGATTTAATATGAAGATATAGATAAAATACTTGGTAAAATAGTAGTTTCCGTAGTATATAAACAATAATTTCAATTAAATTAGTAACCATTCACATAATCAGTAGCATTGATACTAACATATTACACATATTACTAAATGGAATAGGTAGGATGTTAATATTTGTACTTTTGAATTATATTTATCTTAGTACTAGCTTCCTTTTCTTGCTTCCGCATAACGACCCAATAACTTCCATGTAAGTGCACATGCACTTCAATCAAACACTGTAAAATGAAACTCCACCCACTGTTTTGTACATTTTGTGATAAATGTTTGTGACTATTGTACATTAGATTAAAAATTTAAATCATGCAACAAGGAACTTCATCATATCATGCAATATCTCAAGTTCATCATATCATATATTAAAAATCAGGACACAGTCTGTAGATCATTTTAATCTAACATCACATTTCATGATCAAAGCAATCTTACCTGGAACACATAAATACACACCAAAACACGACTTCAACCCCATGGACTGCACCGACATTATAATTGGATCAGCGAGAGGAAATAGTCACAGAATTGGTGATTATTACACCAGAGACAGGTCGACGCCAAGAAAAGACGAATATTGGGGTGGAAGAGACACTTTAACCGCTGCCATGGGTTTTGAGCGCGATGGCGTAACAACAATACTCTTTAGAAGGAAGTTGGTAGCGAACGAGCCAACTGATCACGAAATTATCGATGCTAACATGCAAGTAATATGGGCTAAGGGTCAAGAACCTGGAAACTATGTTCATCATCCACCAAGTGGCATTGAGAAGGCCAAGGTCAATGTGAAAGACTTCTACAAAGCTGACGAGCTCAAGTATCACGGACATGGAGCACAGAGGGGAGCATTGACGCTTAATTTCTTTGGTAGGTCAACGAAGAAATGTTTGTCGACAAAGTATATTATTATTAATAACCTTCTAAGGTTAATCTTTGGAAATCTTTGGTATTAAGTAGAGTTTTATCAATATCTTCAGATGAAAAGAAGAGGCAAGAGATGACGAATGGCGAAGGTGATGCAGCGATGCCAGTTTCAACCTGTAGTGGCGAGTGGCATTATCCAAAACATTGTATATCTGAAAATGATACCTGTGAATATTCCATTCAATGGACATATAAGAGTCGAAAGGATCAATTGTCCTTCGTTATTTCTACTACCAACACAAATACTTGGACTGGCGTTGGATTCTCCGACGATGAAAAAATGGTATGCGTCAACCGCAAAATAACATATCCCGTTTTAATCAATTCAATGGAGGCTAATATAAAATCAATTGGCCACTCAAAATTATCGAGTACTAGATCCACCATTATGACATTATAATACTCCTCCTTTCATTCAATCAGTAAAAATCAATTTTATCCACAAACTCTGACGAGAGAAGTAGTTCAAGATAGATTCTCCTCTTTGTTATTAGTCGCAAACAGATGCGGTGTTGGGCTGGGTCGACGACAAATCGGGTCGAGCTTTCCTCATGGACACTTGGATCAGCGGATATAATGCCCCGTTGCTCGATCCATCTCAAGATATCTACAACACAGGCGGCAGTAAAGTGGATGGTGTAACGACGCTCAAGTTCTCGAGGAAACGGATAACAAAGGACAATAGGGATCTGTCTTTCACGGACGATCGCTGCTTGTACATGATGTATCCAGTTAAGGGTGGTATTTTCAACGCTGTTAGCAAGAAGATACGTAAACACGACGCCGTGCCCGTTGTTTCCTCTGAAAGGATATGCATAAAGTCTTGTGGTCTGGAAGGTTGGTCTTTTGTTATGGTACATTTTATGATCATAGACTGTATACATTCTAGAAGAACTTTTTTTTGTACATGTTCAGAGTAATTCTGAATGGTTGGAATTAGTTAACAACTCATTTTTAAGTGAAGATAGTAAATAACAAGAGAATATAAAAAAAGAACTTGTTACATTCTTGCAGAAATGGAGGATGTTACAACACCAACACCTCCAAGGTTACATTACGACGTGGAAGTGAAACTGGTAAATCTGGGTGATGGTTTTATGGCGCCTACTCCTGGTACACCTGATTTTGAAGTAATTTCGAACACGATTTCCGACAGCTTTGGCCCAGTGCTTGATAAACTACCGGGTTATTACCAAATCCGTCTCAATGAGTTACAGAAGTCAGTATTTGTACAATGCTTAATTTTTTTACATTTGAATATATTAGTAAATCTGTTTGATTCGTTATGTTTAGGAATGATGAGCAAAACGGTGTTATCGCGCGCATGGATTTGATCTTAGATAAAAACGAAGTGAAAGGTAGATCGTTAAAACCTCTGGATACTAGTACAGCCGCAGAAAAAGCGTTAAAAGAGGCATTGGTTAGCGGAAAAGTCGGTGCACTGAGTGTGGATCCACAGTATTTGATCGTCAGAGCTCCACGAGGTATATGAAAAATATTTTTAACGTTGAATTTTTAAAAAAGATTAATACGACTTTCAAGAACCATTCGAAATATCTTCCAATTGTTGTGCGTCTATTTAAACATTTAACATCAAAACAATTCCCGCCCCGAACATAACCAATAATTTATACAACTTCTTAAGTTTTTCTGTAATGTCGTGTTTAATTCGATACCATGCCTTTCCCCTCGGACATTCGAAGGGAACGCTATCATTACAACAAACTTAACAAAGCGAGTTTATTATTAGTGACAAGCTAACAACCTGTTCATGTATATCTCTAGCTCCATACAGTACGTATATTCGTATCGTAATTAAGTGTATTAAGTAATATATAAGGCATCGATCCAAGTTCGGTCAACAGTAAATGACTTGGGTGGTGGAGGAGACGCAGATGAGGGATCGTCATTTACCTCAGACCTGTTCCTCGACGCGACGAAGCTGTACATCCTCGTTGGGTGCGTTGCTGCGTTGCTTGCCCTCGCTCTACTACAAGCAAGCTGTACTCTCTACAGATCGTCGAAGAGGCGAGCGACAAAGGTACCATACATCACCTACAGTTATACATATATATATGTATTAATTTTTATACATTTTTTCTCCCTTTTATTTTATTGTAATTTCTTTGTTTTGTTACTTTCTGTTCGCGTCCTAATTACTTCTCTCTTTTTGTATCGTGTGTGCATCTAACTGTGTTTGTAAAACGTCTTAGCGCTGTGGTATAGCCTAAAGCAGTGCTGGTTCTCAACCTGTGTATGCGCATCGGTGTCTATAAGTAAACCTGTTTGCTACTTCGATTCTTGGACCTATCGGTAGAGTCTTCTAACATTTACAAGACTCCAATTGTGATTTGCAGTAGCAAAAATCATTAGTTCTTTAGAATTCTGTTTAATTAGTTTAG